CGGCACTGTCCTCACTGGGATGGGAAACTCTTGGGTGGAGCAGGTGTTTGAGAGGATGATGGGATGGGACAGACCTGGGGGGAGCTGTCATGGGAGGAAGGCTGGCAGAGGAGCCTTCTGGAGTCCCCTCCCCTGAGCACCAGCCCTAGGATGAAGCAGCGGGCCCACCACCCCCAAGCATCCCGGACCCCTTAAGTCTCGAAGGGAGAGAACACGGGCTTCCTGGAGGGAGCTGGGGCCATCTGGAGCAGCCCCACCAACTCCCCATTGACTCTGGGCAGCCGCCTGCCTGTCAGGCACAGCAACAGGGTCCAGCAGGGAGCGGAAGGGTGCCGTCTGTCTGCCCCAGAGCTGGCACCACCAGCAGGCGGCGAGTGTTGCACCTCCCACCCCCCAGGCTGCCTGGCGCTGACTCAGCCCCCTGGAACAAACAATCCCCCACGGTGACAGCAGACACGCGTCACTCCCCACCAGGGTTGCCTAGCGACCAGTGGGGCCTAGGCTCAGGGTCTGTCGTGGGATCTGGGGTCCTGCCCTGTAAGGTTCTATCTAGTTCTTACCAATTTGGATTGAGGACCACACCTCCTCTCCCCACCTGCACACCCCTTGGCAAGCCTTGCTCTGGGCTTATATACACTCTGCTGTATATAAAACAAGCCCACTTTACCGATGAGGAAACAGACTCAGGACAAGAGACTTGCTATGATCGCCCAGCTAAACAGCTGAGCGAACACAGTGCCTGACACGTAGTCGGTACTCAGTATTTTTTGGGAGCACTTGGGCCCCCTCTCCCAGCCTGGGAGCCCCAGAAGGGTGAAGCCTGAGTCTTGTTCATCCTTGTCTCTCCCAAAGCCGCCCAGAGCCTGGTTCTCAGGAGCATCGACAGGTGTGTTGGATGGAGGTCTGCTCTGAGCATCCCCTGAGGACAGGGACCCCCATAGAGGCTGCTGGAGGCCTCTGGGTGGGGAGGAGCCCAAAAAGGGGCTTCTTGAATTCCAGGAGCCTTCCTCCCAGGAGCTGGTTAGCTCTGTGTGCCCAGGCCGTGACTCTCAATTCCTTCCAGTCCTCAGGACTCCAGCCCTCCTGCCACCACCCCACAGGATTTTCCAAGACCCTGGGATGAGATAGGAGGCTCAGAGACACCAAGATGGACCTAGGGGAGATGGAGGAAGGGAAAG